CACGGATTAAAAAGTTTTTGGTTTCACTGAATCCGGATGACATTGGCAGTGTAGCAGAGAATAAAGAACTACGAAGATAAAGCAATAATCCGCGAAACTTAAAAGTTAACACTAATAAAAAGTTGACTTTTTGTTTAATCCTGTCAAAATGTACAGGTTGCTCAAGTTGTTTCATTTGCGAACACTTGATACCACTCGTTTGAACACTATTCACTTACTATCAACGGATATTATACTTACAAACAAAAATTCTGAGTGCTAGTTTTGATGCATGGACTAGTATGCATAAATTAAATACCGAAAACTGTCAGACAACTCGCTGTGCATAAAGCAGTTGCAATGAACGTACAAAAAAGGACTCAGTCGAGATTGCTAAAGATCACCGCCACTTCCCTGATCCGGCTGATTTTGAAAAACGTAAATTCAGGAACCGCTTCAAGATTGAGCATTCGGATGTAACACCACGGCAGACTATTTTGCTGCCCAGCGTGATGTTAACCGACAAACAGCTGTTCATCGGATTACTCTTTCGTCGAATTTCTTCTGGCCCTGCAGTAAACTCAGGGTGGGGATCAGTTTCTTTTACACGATTCTGGTCCCAAAGATGAAGATTGGGCTTTTGTGCTTGCCACGTTCGACTGCTCCAAATTTCGACAGTTCCGAATGAATTTTAACAAATTAATAAAATACACGCCTCAGTTGAAGGATGTCTTGTACCTCTCGTTTAACCTCAGTTCCCCGAAAATAAGCAATCAACTTTATGTCGCCTCCTCCATAGTCTAAAAGTTTAAGTCCTCAAAACGCGTTACAATTGATTTTGAAGTAGCTGTGCGAAACTCGATCACAGCTTCCCATGAGAGCGCTCAAATGGGATTTTGTTTCTTTCAGGTTAGTCAAAGTGTCTGGCGACATGTTCTGTCGTCAGACAACACTCACAATTACAACAATGACTTGAAATTTCGTCAAACTAATCGAATGCTTCTGTCAACAGCATTTTTGCCGATAGAAGACGTCACCGCTGAACATCTAAGTCGAGCACTGCTGAAAATCGCCCAAAAACATTGAACACTGCTGAAACATTTGACACAAACATAATGACTATGACCAAGTATGTAAACCGAACGAAATAATTGGGTTTCTGAGGGATGTAGTTATCTTTTTAAACTATAAACATAATTTTTTTTTCAATTTTCAATTTGTTCAACGTTCCCAAGCAATAAAATTTTTCCATTTTAACGGCTTTCCTTATTTTTTCAAAATTGAGCAAGATTTGAAACCGGCAAAATACTGGATACATACAAGGTGTTGATTTTCTTTTCCCCTCGTCCAACTCTCTAAGTTTAAGCCTATTTTTGTACCTCAGATATACCTGTTTCATATTTACTCAAATTTAAACTTTTGTTTTGGAAAAAATGTTGTGCCGGCGGGGATTCGATCCTTTGATATCCAGAGTTGGAGTCTTACGCTTTAATTACTATACCATAAGTCATTTGGTTTTGATCTGATTTATTGTTCGATATTTGTTTTTTTCTTTACGCTCATGTTTGATGTTTCAAAGCGTAAATCAATTCTGTTGGCGCCAAAAGATCAAGCTAAAAAATTCCAATAGTTTTGGATATTTTTAGGACTTTTTTGATGTTTCGAACTGTTTTGTGCGGGAATTTTTTTTATACATATGCACCCTCGGAACATATTTTGATTAAGAATTTCAATCCTGTGATACTGAAAACGTTGGCAAATAAGTTCATCATATTGAGAGCTCGGAAAATCAATTTCGGCCCAAAAAAGGTTCATTTTTTCGGATTTTTTTTCGAAATTTTGTTCTTGAGTAAACGATAGACCCGCGCCTGAAAGACGTTATTGTCCATCGGCTACATTGTTATTTTCCCCTAACTTAGTGGTTTTGTGGTTTTGTTTGAATAACCTTCATGAGGATCTGTTCAAATTTGTTCACGAGCATTTGTCTATCTTAGCAAATTGACCTTTGATTTCTTTTTAAGTTCACTTTCAATTGAAGCTCAATAACGCTTTCCTATAACTTAAATCCAAATGGCACAAAATATGGAGCTTTTTTTCTAAGTTTCGAAATAGGTTCAAAGCTCTTGAAATTAAAAGGAAACCTTAATTCATATTTTTTCATTGAAACGGGAAATTCGAAAACCATTACTTGTTTTTTTTGGCTTCCTTGAGTTCATTAAAACTTATTCAATTATATTTTTTGCTAGTTTTCTCAAATTTTTTTGAAATAGTACATTGTAGCTTGACTTGCGACTCAAAATGCTTTTTGATGCTATAACCCTCGCCCTCATCTGTAAATTTCTCTAAATTACATGAGAAGATTATTCAGTTGGTTTCCTTATTTGGCAATTTTCGAAAAGTTTAAAGTGTAAAGTTATGGTTGGAGTATTCTGTGCTACTTGCACAGCAGTCGGGTGCTTGTAAAGCAATTTTTTTGGAATACATCAAATAAGAACATTTTTCAGGTCAAACATTGGCTTATTTTCATTTGTGCAAGTGAGCTGTATAATATCGCGTATTTTTCGATTATGAACCGTAATCTGATTGGTTTATGATTTTGAATTTTGCAACAAAATGTGTGCTAACTTTGAGTGACCTGAAAATTGCACTGAGATCAAACCCAAATGCGAATCAACATCTGTTGCCCTTAGGGGTCCAAAGTGGGTCGAACGATTATGATGATGTAGTCTCGAAAACAAAACTAGAGACACGCTTTCAAACATGTTAGCACCTCCGCTTTCCTCCTGCAAAACCCAAAAACACACTTGCACTTTTGTTTTGTTTTTATGATTCTATAAGAAATTGCTCATGAATTTTGTTCTAGTTTTGCTGTTTTTAAAGCTTGGCTGATTGAGTTGAGCTTTGCTATTTTAAGAGGTAAGATATAGTTTTTGATCAGATTTGTCTTACCAATTTGTAAATAATCAAGCCAGAAATGATCCAATTGCTTTTTGACAATGAATCAATGGACTTTTTGAACTCGAAGTATTTGAATCAAAGTTACTTTTACCATATATGTAGTTTTCAGTTGATTTGTTTTTTGTTTGTAACTGCAGTTTTTTATTGATAAAAGAGTTTGCGCGGTTCGTTAATCTACTTAGCTGCAAAAATCACTACATCAGTCTTCAAAAGGAGCCATTTTACTCTTTCATTCAAATGTAAGTTTGATTTGCCGCGTATTTTTGACTTTTCTTTCATGTTTCAAACTATACCGAAGAAGTTGCGGCACTTTGAATTGAATATTTCAGTTTTTGTGTTGGAAAAACATTTTGAGCAGAGTTGAGTTTGTCTCCTGTCCTACTAAAAAGCAGTTTTTTAGATATTTTATAACGATTAAGCTTTGTAGCATTGTCCGCTTATTTCAAAGGCTACCAGATTGCGTTGAATCGTCGCTCTGAGGTACTTTTGTTCCATCTTGTCAAAAATAACTGTCGTGTTCCGACCGCTTGTATCATTGACTCTCTTTTACAAACGATTGCTTTTGAGAGCTTCTCTTTTTCAACCTTCGTTCACTTCATAAACTTCAAACAGCATTTAAAACTTATATTTCGCCTTTGAACTACTCTACTCGCACATGAGCGATTATAGTTGCTTAAACATGTCAAAAACAATTGGCATAAAGCCAGGCTTTTTTCTATTAAAACTATTCGCATAGAAATAATTGTTCCGACTTTCAATACGAAAGTAGCGGAATATTTGTGCTCGGGGTAGGTTTTTTTTCTTCAGACAAATTTCGACTTTTTACTAGCTATTTTTGACAGAATTTTTTTTTATCATTCGAAAAGTTTTGTTGTCTTGAGCTCAAGTTTGAAAAGATTTTTCACCTGTGATTATTTTTTGTAAAGTTACGGGGGTTTAAAGATTGCCATTTTGGCCAATTTGGGACAATTAACGCGCGATATATTTCGCGCTATTAACGCGTAAGCGGAGAGGTAATCAGTCTTAGAAATCGTTCCAAATTAGTTGAAAGAAGCTTATTTGCCATAATTGATTTGATACAAGGAGCGAAACTATCCATTTGTACTTTAAATGGCGTGTGGGTGGATGATTTTTATAAAAAATTTCAAATTTTAGAAAAAAAATTTCATAGTTTTTTTTTTCATTTCATTTCTTAATGTTACTACTGCTCCATAAACCTTAAAAGGCAGTCGGAACATTCAGGGCTTCGCCCTGATACGAGCAGTCTTATTGGGCTCTTTTCCAGTCCCCCCACCTTTCAAAATACCGAGTTTTATGTTTGTTTTACGTGTTATTACGGCTAAATGCGTGATGTTACGCTGTAAAGTATGAAGAACAAATCTGTTCACAGTTGTTGGTTTGTTCACCACGCCAAATTTTATTGCATTATGACAAGGTTAAATAAGCTTTTCAAAGTTGAATTTGAAAGGGGGGAACTGGAAAAGAGCCTCTTATTGTTCCGACTTTCGATACGAAAGTAACGGAATATTTGTGCTCGGGGTGGGTTTTTTTTCTTCAGACAAATGTCGACTTTTTAACTAGCCATTTTTGACGGAATTTTTTTTAATCATTCGAAAGAAGGTATTGTTGTCTTGAGCTCAAATTTGAAAAGATATTTCACCTGTGATCTTTTTTCGTAAAGTTACGGGGGTTTAAAGATTGCCATTTTGGCCAATTTGGGACAATTAACGAGCGATATATTTCGCGTTATTAACGCGTAACCGGAGAGTTAATCCATCTTAGAAATCGTTCCAAGTTGGTTAAAAGAAGCCTATTTGCCTTAACTGGTTTGTTGCAAGGAGCGAAACTTATCCTTTTGTACTTTATATGGCGTGTGGGGGGATGATTTTTATTTAAAAAAAAATTTCAAATTTTAGAATTTTTTTTTTCATTTTGTTTTATTTCATTGAATTTTTTAAATGTTATTACTGCTCCATAAACCTTAAAAGGCAGTCGGAACATTCAGGGCTTCGCCCTGATACGAGCAGTCTTGTTGTTCTTAGTAATAGTTCTTGCTGTTCTAGCTCCGATTGAAGATTTGTGTTTTCCCAACACGACAACTGGCAACAAAAGATTATTTGAAGCACATAAAAGCTCATTGCAATCAATTATTTCTTAACACAGAGTCATAGTTTCGTATGACTATGGACTCGTACCAGTGCCATGACCTTTCCATGGCCTCCGCGTCTTTATCACCTCTCGTTCTGGCCTCCAACTCGTCCTCCCCTCAGCCTGGTTCTCCCCTGGTGAAAAGCAATGGGTCCCCCACTTCTTCAATGAATGGCAGCAGTTCGGCTACTCCAGTGAGCTCGTCGTCCAATCAGAAGACGAGGATGGTGATCGATTGGACCGACTGGGAAGCGGAGATACTGATGACGGAGTACGAGACACACAGGTGTTTGTGGGACCCCAGCCACCCTAACTATCACAGCAATAGTGAGAGGACACACGCGTACGTGAAGATACTGGACAAACTGGGAGACAAGTTCAACATCACAGACATCAAGAAGAAGATCAACTCAATCAGAACTCAGTTCAACCAGGTCAGTGTCCACTTAGATTCGCCGACTCCATCCACCTCATTTATTTCACTGCATCAACTAAACAGTAATTGTCACAAGCCATATCTCAAAGTGGGGTTTTTAGTTGGAATCAAAACTTATGCTATTATGCTCTCCTAAATAGGTTGCACATGGTTAAGTCGTGGCGTCGCGGATGTAAATAAGATCCTCAAAAAAAACTGAGAAGGATACGTATTTTTTTCCGAATATGTCTTAAGTAAACGCTTTGCTCTGTCACTAGTTTTATAACTTTATTTTTGACCTTATCAAAATCAGTTTGGGAGTCTCTTGCGAAAGTGGGTTCGCTTCGCTCATTGTTCACCAGTTGACGAGAGGTGATGTTGAGGATGGTATCATTTATGTTGAGCTGACCTCGATGTCTTTTCAATCGGCAATGTAGCCTTTGAGAAGACAATTTAAAAGTTTTCAAGTCAGCGATTACACATCGGAAAAAATTTTGGAAATTTTGGCAATATATTTTTTGTTGACTAAAGGCATTTGAACTTCAATTGTTTTTTGGAATTTTAATTAGTTCATTTTCGGTTTCTTTGTTCAATTTAAGATGCCTTTATTACCATCATAATGAGCCTTGCCACAGATTTATGTACCGATGTAACATGTGGTTCATGTTGAGAAAATATTGATAGAAAATGCTGAGTAATTTTAAATCCACTTTCAAAGAAACATCTTGATTTTCTACCGCTCGCAAGAATCAATTCCTGTTTTTCAATATGATACGAAAAATATGGGAGCTAGTGTTTCGCAAATAATTTATTTGATGTAATTCAGTATAAGTTAGTCTTGCTGACGCATACTTTGCACTTTGTTCTGAGTAGGATATAACAATAGGCATTATCTAGCTTCAAAATGCATCGGAACTGGGTGAATACCATTTTGTCTTATTATTATTTGACGAGACTATAGGGCGCTGTTTTCCTGACTATAAGTTTAATCTTCAAAATCTCTCGGGTGGTCTTAGATGTTTAGAAACAGGTGAATGAAAACATCAAAGAATGGGATAGTTAAAAATTGATGATTAACAAACAATCAGTGTAACAAAGATTAAAGGATCTGGGAGTATTTTAGTAAGCGGAAGGTATCCCTGGTAAGTTTGACCATCTGTCTGCATGAAAAATGCGTCATTAACTTTTTTTTATCTCGATGAAGATCTTCGACCGTTTCATTTTGTTTTATAATTGTTACTATCGCAATTAATTTCCTCCATTTTTTGGGGGGCTAGGTGGGAATGGTGTTTGACACTCCAGGAAATGAACGCAGATGATGTTTTGCTTGGTTGTTGAAAATAGTTTTGAGATATATTGTGACGTGATGTGATGTGATGTGCTGTGATTGTGTAGGAGCGAAACAGACTGATGAAGATGAACGAGAGTGGGATTGGGCGGACGGAGGACACCCGCTTCAAGTACTACGACAGACTCTCCTTCCTCGCAGAGAGTGTGGACATCCGCCGCAACCAGAGATCCATCACTCCCAAGGTACCACCACAACACCACTAACATATTGCCATCAACTAACTTTTTCATCAATTTAATCTCGCTATAGCTCTCTTCAGTATGAGGAATCAATCAGCCTATTCCAATGTAGCTACAAAGACCTCGAGACAAATTGGAAAAAAATAAATTTGGACAATCAATTTTTCGCAATCACAACTGTGCTTGGAAGATTCATGAGATCGGAATTTGGCAATAGGCTATTCTTCTTGAGCTTTTATAATAGTTCCCACATCATATTAATTCAGCTTTCTATTATAACTTTGTTTTCAATCCAATTTTTCATCGGAATCATATATTAACTTATGTTGTAAATCATTGGCGAGGTATTCATTACAGAACGCTAAAAACATAACTAATCCAGTGTTCGGTTTTAGTCTTCAGAAGATGCTCCTTCGTCGATATGTGCTGCCAGCTCCTCTATCCCTTCCATAGCACAACATCTCACAACAACCACCTCAGCATCATCAGTAATGAGTTGCTCCGACCCCCCTTCTGGTCTGGACCTCCTCAAGAGTCACCAGACAGCCGCGCTCACGTTAGCCAACCTCGGGAACTCAGCTTTGCTCAATGGAACAGCTGCTGCTTATGCTTCAGTTGCCGCCACTGCACATCAGATGTCGTCGCCAGGACGACCTTTAAGTGGACTCAGTGCCTCCGAAATATCAGCTTTGATCCCACCCCTTCTCAGTTCGGATTTGGTTTCAAAGTTGGCCGAAGAGCGATCAAATCTAGTCGCATCTCATTTGAACAGTCCCAGGATTCCAAACGGGATTCCACTAAGCATATCAACTACAGGATCCGACGATTCTATGATAATGTCCAGGAGCTTCGGGGATTCCAGGACACCGAACAGTGGCTCGTATATGAACGGGAGTCTTTCTGGAAAGCTTCCAGTGCTGTATAATGGAGTAGACGCGAACAGAAACGAGGAGTCGGGTAGTGCATCGTCTTGCACTCGGGTGCCGACTATCATGTATCACGGGTCAGCCAATCACATCCCGATCAGTCCTGTGACTACCTATCAGCAACAGACATTTCACAACTCTAGTATCAACTCGAACTCAGCCTCAACAACACTGCCTGTAAGTAAACAAGAATCAAGATCATGTAGAAAAATTATCATGTTGAGCAAGACGGATAAAGCAATTAGCATCACTTTAGATCGAACAAAGCAAATTTCGGCTCAAGTATGGCTCGAGAAAATGGGATCTGTATGTTTTTTTCTTCAAATTAACCATCATTAAACTGGTTTTGAGAATGATTTTTTTTAAATTTAACATTTTCCAGAAAGTTACTGTTAATCCTTAAAATATGCAGAAAAGTCGACTCAAGGCACATTTTATCTGTATTTGCAGAATTCCAGCGCCTCAAGTTGTACCTCACCCGTTGCTAGCATCAAGCAGGAAATGCCAACGCCCCTGCCCCTCCCTTGTTCAGCCCCTCTCTACTCAAACAGCGATCTCTCTTCCCCCACTAAGGCTACGAGCAAGCCCACCTGTGCAATCCTCCCCGAGGCCAACAAGAGCAGGTCATTTGTCGCTCCTCAGATGAACAGCAGCCAATCAGGAGGCTCCACATCACTGCCTCTAGCCTCGTCAGCCAATCAGAGCTCGAATAGCTTACGTAGCATGGTGCCTCCAAGAAAGCGACAGAAGTTCGCAAATATGCACGAAGGAATTCCGCCTAACAACAGTTCAACACTTCATATTCCGAAAAACTCGACGGTCAACTTACAAGTAAACGAAGCGAGAAATAAAACAGAAGAATTCAAACAGTATGGGGCTGACGAATCTTTTGGAGCGTATATTGCGGCTGAGATAAAATCAATCCGAAACCAGTCTATCAAAAATAAACTCAAGCTCCAGATCATTTCGCTTATCATTCAAAGCTCAAACGACGAGATTTTGGGTTTTAATGTGTACGAATAAACTTTTTAAACTTACGTGTTGCTATTTGTTTGTTTGGAACCCTACATGGCAAAATGAACTTCTTCGCGCATGCTTTAAAAAAAAAAACATTAAAAATCGACTTTACATGACACCATGAACAAGTTTTTTGGTATTTGAATTATTGAGAATAGAGTATGTTCATTTTGCTAACAACTCATCTGCACTTGTTGAGTTGCTTTGCCATGTTAATATTGATTGACTGATCTTTCCAGATGCTTTTTGTGCCTGTGCGCTATTCCGACTGTTCACATCGCTTTTTTCTTCCTTCCTTTTGTCGTCAAAGTAGGCCCACTGTTATCCTATATTTTTCTATGTAGTCAGTTCATTCTAGTCAGTTCTACTCTTTTAGTGTCTTGTCTACTCTCAGTAGATATCTTCTCGACTCTTCAGAAGTGCATTTATACGTGTCACAACACAACCTCAGACAGGCGATGTAGCTTTTTCAGACTTTTCTAGATCATTCTAGACTCTTAGGTCTCTTTTTTGTTTCAATATGATTTGACATTTCTTTTTGACGTTATCTTTAACTATGTTCATTTATCGCAAAACTTTAACTTGTGTAGTATAATAACCTGGAAATTCAATTTCAAAGAAGTATCCATATCTTTTCTATGATTGCTATGATTTTATATTTTGTCCATTCGCTGTATTTCACGCATTTCTATTTGCCAATATAATATTTGTTTCGGAGATTGAGAATAGATTACCAATATTTTTCTATTTGTGCTCTTCATTTTTCTCATTGTTAAAATCACTTCTGATTTTATATGATGGCCTTTTGCTCCATTCGTTTCTTTGTGTCTCCAGTGAAGCTTTCAAGACTCTTCCTACTTTGTACTGTACTAGTATCACCATTGTATCAATAAGTTCAAGTTTCAGATCTCAACGTTTTGTGTGTCTTTTTCAGTATTCTATGTCAAAATGCTTTTTTCAATTTAAATGTATGTCCCTCTTATGAAAATAAAATGTATCCTAAAGAGTTTTTCCAAAATCACCCAAATTGAAAGCCAGGTCCAGGTGATCCACTCTTGTTTCGACTTTTACGCCAAAATTCGTGCCTGATTCGATCAGCGACCAATTTCGGGTATGCTTCGTCCGCCTCGACCAAGTTTACGTATATTTTGACCACCTCGACCAAATTTGTGCAAGTTCGACCAAAAATGGGTATGATTTCACCGTTTAAATTTTAAGCACTTTGACCAAACTCTGGCGTGATTGAACAAATTTTGACACCAGTCGTCGCTCTTGGCCAAACTCGGATGTGTTGTGACCATATCGATCAAATATGGGTCAATTTTGAAGCCCTTGATCACATACCGGTTTGTTTCAATCACTTTGGGGTATAATCCGCCAGCCTGAACCAATTTCAATTATGTAGGACCAACTCGACTAAATTTGGGTACGCTTTGACCGTCTCAACTATCAATTGATGTGTATACTACGGGTAACAGCACTATTCACCCTATTCCATCTTATCCTCTACCGAATTGCCCTAAGCCTTTCAAACCCTGTGCTTTTTTTATTTTAGGCTCAATTGTTTCGCAATTACTCTTAACCTCTGATGTACTAAGTAAATACCGAATTGAAAACTTTAAGTTCGCTGGTGTCAATTCATTTAAGGCAAGAAAAAAGGACTCACGTGAGTCGCGAATTCAAACTATCACAATAAACAAAGTTCAATTACAGCTATCACAATTTTAGGGTAAAATGAATGCAAAAACTGTCTATATTATCATTCAAAACTGAAACTGAAATGAGCCAACTTTTTTGGGGTTTATCACAACGCAATTTTTGCACTCGTAAAATTCATTTTCACGATTATGTCAAGAAGGCGGAGGCAAATAAAGGAAACGGACAATGGAAACTTTCAAGATGACAACTACTATAATTGGTGATGATCGGGTTTCCTCGTGTAGGGATCACAGCCTCAAAGACTTCCCTGGTGCGGGCCTCGGTAAACTGTCCATTATTTGGTATCGCAATGCACAAAACTTTGTTTGGTAAATTATCCTATTCTACGCGTCTGCGAATAGAACAAGACTGCTTGTATCAGGGCGAAGCCCTGAATGTTCCGACTGCCTTTTAAGGTTTATGGAGCAGTAATAACATTAAAAAATTAAATGTAATAAAATTAAAAAAAAAAAAAATTTTATATTGAATTTTTTTAATGAAAATCATCCCCCCACGCGCCATTTAAAGTACAAAAAGATAGATTTAGCTCCTTGTAACCAATCAATTATGGCAAATAAGCTTCTTTTAACCAATTTGGAACGATTTTAAGACGGATTAACTCTCCGCTTACGCGTTAATAGCGCGAAATATATCGCGCGTTAATTGTCCCAAATTGGCCAAAATGGCAATCTTTAAACCCCCATAACTTTACGAAAAATGATCACAGGTGAAATATTTTTTCAAATTTGAGCTCAGGACAACAATACCTTTTGAATGATATTAAAAAATTCTGTCAAAAATGGCTAGTTAAAAAGTCGAAATTTGTCTGAAGAAAAAAAAAACCCACCCCGAGCACAAATATTCCGTTACTTTCGTATCGAAAGTCGGAACAATAAGCCCCCACAAGTACCTCTCCTTTTGTAATGAACTAGTCAAATCGTTAGTAAGTTTCAACTTCATTTAAGTTTTGACTTTCTGTGAGCTGTGAATTCATCCTTCGAATGTTTTATTTTAAAAGACATGCATTATACGCTAATTTATGTCTTTCAAGAAACGGATGCAACGCGTTGCAATTGCAAATTAGTCAAATGTATTTTTTGTTCGCTTATGCTGTGATCACCTTTTAATTTTGCATCGAGCTATTTTACATTGCTTCAAAAATATTATAACATGCAGCAACTAATTTATGATCAAGGTTAATGGTTGTTAGATATCTACTCGGAGTTGTTATCCGGATTTCTGGATTCTTGTTATAAAGCATGGGATAAAATTTTATAACAACAAGCGAAGGGTAAATTGCAATATATTAAATTAAAGTTTAGGTTAAATTGGCACAGTTTAAACAGGTAAAATCAAATGCAAAATTTAAATAGCCATGTAACCATAATTTGACTATCTAGACCAAATGATAACATAACTGACGAAAACTTGATCACCAGAACTAATTTTAGATTTTATTCTATCTTGTAGAAAAACGGTATGTTTCAACCATCTCAGAAAAATTCGAGTTTTTAGACGACACAAAAAATATGAGAATGACGTCTGGAAAAAAGACGACAATCTAAGACGAGTTTGTGCCATTCTGCCAGATGACACAGCACAACCTTCCGGCGACATAAAAAAGAGTGACTAAAGGCCTGATGAACAAAAAAGTGTTGCGACGGAGGGTCAGAATGTTCTAGAATTTTTATTTTTAAAATTTCGATTGGAAGAAGAACATTTCTGAGAAATAGAGAAAAGACGGCCATTTTGAATAAAAAGACGAAAAACAGAACCACGATAGAGATTGTGAAGAAAAGTCGAGCAAGAAAGTTACGAAGCCTCTTATCGTGGCAAAAACACACGATAAGAACCTTAGCGACGGATATTTGTGGAGAAGGAGGCTTCAGTGGGGGAAGAAATATACCACGGGACCCTCCCGGGACACGAAATAAAAGAGATAAGAGTGTTATCTCAAGAATATTACGGGAGCGGAGGCTTGGTCCCCCAGAGACTGTCTATGTGAAGGGACTGTATAGACTGACTGTATAGCTGCTATAATGTCATAGATCTTAATTAACACCGTTATTATTTAATATTTCAGAGCATGAGTAGCTAGAAAAAGGAAAGGGTCAATCCATCTCTAATGGATTTAATATAGAACTGCCACACAAAAACATATAAAAATAGGTTGTTCGAGCCGTGTTTTTAATGACAATCACGTAGTCTGAGGATCCGAGACTCAGCTATGTGGTTGTGTTCGCATGTAAACGAAAGCTGATCAAAAGTCGTTTGACTGATGGCCTAAGAATGGTAACTTTTTACTTTGCCCTAAACAGACCAGAAAATCAACTGGCAAGGTCGAGACGGTGAAAACCGAGTAGGATTAAGGTAACTGACGCCTGCCAGTCGTTAATAGGTACTTTTTCTACGCTCCGTCGCTGTGTGATATTTGGGCGAATGTTACATAGACGTCAGTATGGCGCTCCTGGGTGGGCCTGTTAAAGGCATGAAACCATCATGATCAGCAAGCGTTTCAGCGACGTACCCTCCGCTCCGGGCGTATGCCCGAGTTAGAGGCCTTAATGACCGTTGTTGTACTAGGGGGAAGGTGCGTACCCTCCGTCTAGTACAATTTAGCTTTTTAACTCAGTTAACACCGAAAATTCCGGGGGCCGGAGGGTTAGGTGGGAAGTCATGAACCCGCTTGTCCCGAGGTCCCGGGACCAAAAACAACTAAAGAGAAAGCGTAAAACCAACAAAAAAAGTGTATAACCAACAAAAAGCCAAAAACAAATTTATTTAAAAACAAAAAAGTACAAAAAACAGTAAAAAATCCAAAAAAGACCAAAAACAGTAAAAAACATAAAGTGACAGTTTATATGTTATTTCCGGACGAGATGTGATCTGACCTTCCTATTTGTTGTTGTTTCAGATTGATTTATATCGTTTCTGATAGAAAGATTGTGTGTTTTGGTGAAGGGTTGGATACCCTCCCTCGAGTGTAATTTGAGTGTTTAAGCACGTTAATGGTAATTTTGCCGGTGGCCGGAGGGTAGAGTGGCAAGCTGATCAACGTGTTCCACACTCAACAGGGACATCAAGGACAACATCCGCAACGACTGTTGGGTATCGTTGAAGCAATTTTAGTATCGTTCGGGTACTATTTCTTTAAAACTTAAGTGGTGGGGGGCACGATTGGCGCGGTCCGATTGTACCCTCCATCGATTACAAATTTCCGAGTTAAGGGTCTTAATTCGGATATTTTGGTGCAAAGGAGGGTATAGTACTATTCATTAACGACTATTAATAGATTATTATCCTTATTGTATATTACTTATCTCCTATTTAGACCCAAGAAACACCCATTTTTTGTCGAAAATTACCAATTTTCGACCAAACCGTAGACCCCCAAATTTTCGGATATCCGAGCTTTTCCGATAGGCAAAAAGCTTTTATATAAAGAGTAGCTACGTAGTTCGATCCCCTTCACTAAAGAAACCGCGTGAGCAAAGACTCAGTAGAAGTTAGGAAAACGAAAATTTTTGGATCAAAATTTTGATAATTTTCTGTATTTTGTCAATCTGTTTTGGGGATCGAGTTTTTGAGTTTTTAGAGTTAGAGCAATAAAATTTTTTTGCATTAGGAGCGTGCTAGCATAACGTGCTCGGTTACTAGAGAAATTTTTGGGTAACCCTCCGAGTAGCTCCGTGGATAGAGCTAACGACTTAAGGTTTGGAAAAGGAAGGAATCGGAGGGTCCAAATTTGATAGTTTTTGGCCAAATTTTTGTTTCTAAACCAATTTTGGTCCGGTTTTTTGCATTATTCCAGTGCCGTACAGGGCTGCTACGCTCATTTCAAGTAATTTTAGGCACTTTCGACCGGAATTGCGGAAAAAGTCTTTCAGAACCTATATAGGTGGTGAAAAAAGGCCATTTTGACGAACGCGTTTTTGGCGATTTCTCAAAGACTAGTTATCCGATCGGGATAATTTTGGTACCCTAAGTCGACGTTTTTGACCACTTTTCCGAATCGCAACCGTTTTTGGGTTGATTATTTCGGAAAAGAAAAATTTTTTAGGATTTGTTGGTTCGGAGGGTCCAAATCATGGGCAACCCTCCGAGCGGCAGAAAATTTTATCAAAACATCTTTTTATTCAACTGGGAAGGTTGACCGTGTCAGCCAACCTAGTTTTAAGTCAGGTAGACCGCTTTCAGAGGCTTTACTGCGGTGAGATAACCTTTTTTCTTGATTTTGGGGGGCCCTCCGAAGTGACCCTCCGGAGTCAGCTAAACCCTTTAGCAACCCTCCTTAGTGGAAAATTTC